GTCCTGAACTTCTTTCGCTTGGACTTCGGAAACAACGGAGGCTTCGTTTGCGATTCGGAATCGGTCCATGCCCGCGTTGGCTTGTCTCTCGAACGACTTGCCAAGTTTACGAAGATAGTCATGGCGACGACGCTGTAACTCGTGTTAGAGCAGGAGATAAGTTGGATAGGATGTTAGTGGAAAGCGTACCTTGCGTCTGAGACCTTCAGCGCGTTCAACGTCTAGAGCACGTTTCTTCCCTTTGAGTAGATAGCGCTCCCGCTCTTTCTCGAATCCAGGGGCCTCAACGTCGCTCTTCTCTGCATTATCAATTTCGGCCATATATTTATTGACAACTTCTGACTCTTTTTCGGACAGAATCTTGCGAGGTCGGGGAGCCTTAGAGGGATCGACACCGTTGGCCGAAATACCGGCACCCTCTTGGTCTTTCTCCATGTTGCGTCGACGTTTATCTGTGCTAGGTTTCTTCTCGAGCCGGACCGACGATGGGGTTGGTGCCGGCTCGATGTCTCTCACTTTCGGCTGGGCAGATATCGGCGCGGGAGGACTTAAGCTCGCAGCATTCACTGAAGGCGCAGCTGAATGAACAGAAGCTAGCCCGGGAGGAGGAGACTGTTTCTTTGGAGGGGAGCGCTCTTCAGTAGGACCTGAAAGGATGCTAGCAAAAGACATCGGGTCCGCAGCACGAGTAGGTTTCTGTTTGCAAAATAGAGTATGTTAGCATTACACAAACAAACGGGGCCGTTTATAGGAAGGGGTGGTAAAACTCAAAAACTCCAAAAAGAAAAAGAGAAAAAAAGAAAAAAAAAAAGGAAAGGAAAGGAAAGGAAAGACGCACAGCTTCCTTCGGAGGAGAAACCGGTCTCGGTTCTCGCTCTCGCATTGCAGACGAAGAATACGCAGGAACGCCATGATTCATTGAAAAATGCGATTCCGGCTCCTTTTTGGGGGAGACATGAGGTTGGCTATCCGGTCGACTTGATGGATGGGCATGCGATGGGGTAGAGGGACCGTATGGAGATGCGCCACCGCCGGGTAGCAGGGGCCCAGAATAAGGCCGGGGAAGGGAGTATTGCTGAGTCCCTGAAGCCGAATGTGTTTGATACTGTTGCGGTGGTTCGGATGGATGCGACGGTGGGGGCGCACCCCCGTTCAATGGGGGTAGGCTTCCTGGTAAGGGCGAAGGCGCATGTTGTGAGTAGTGAGGGCTCCGAGCCAGGTTGGGCTGCTGGAAGGCAGGGGGCGTCTGGGGCGGGCGTTGGTATTGATCATTGTTGGGATAATAGTGACGCGGTTTATTCGGCGGCGAGTAGGCCGGGTAATGAGACTGTTGAGTCGGAGACTGAGGATTATACGGCGGAGCCCCCGTCATTGTGGTAGCCGCGTGTGTCCGGAACGCGGCGACAAGAATTTAAGGACAGGAACGACCGATGGGGAAGAAATTGGGATTAGAACCAGTCGCTCATGGATTGGCTGCGAGAGTAGATAGGCGTCCACGCGCGGGTAAGTAGGGGCGTTCTCGTCAAGGGTGCGATCACGCGTTCGTTAGTCGTTAGCTGTCGAGCTATCTGCTTGGGAAAATAAGTATAGGCGAGCGAATGATGAGAAATGGGATTGTCGAAGGGAGGAGGGGATGGAATCAAGAATTAAGATGGACACATTGTTGAGGGCTGATGGAAGGAGTGGAGGATGGGGAGAAGAAGGCGAAGAAAATGAATGAGATGGCAGGAGTTCGCCTTACCGGGTTTGCCAGGAATCTTCTTTCGGAGGGTCTGGCTCTACCTAGTGTCTCCTCGTGTGGTGAACCAGCAAATCTTCGCGGGTCAGCCGTAATCGGGGAACAGAACACTCAGGCTGAAGCCATCGGTAGCCTCCTTGGATGCGGATCTTCACACGTTGACTGTGCAGAGACAGAAGGAGGGGGCGATGCAATAAAAACGTGAATGGGGAAGGGCGCCGTTGGCGTTGAGTCTGGTGATAAGTGTCGCCGGGGAAGAAGAAGAGCAAGAGATGAAGGGAGAAGGGGGAGTGGAAGCAGAGATGGAATGGATGACGGGGGTGGGAAGTGTGATGGCGCTGGTGATGGTGACAGATCCAGTGTTCTTCTCGTGGTGCTGAGATCGAGAAGCTGCCCCTTTGCTTTGCCGGGTTTGCCCAACTTTTGCTGCTCGTCTTCTTTCGTCGGCTTCACTTTTCTTCTGTTGCTTGTCGGCGATCCGAACTCTGTGTATTTGTATTTCCGTTACCATTTCCTCCTCGCACGGGAAGCACAAACAACATTGGCTTGGATTCCACTATTTCGTTCTGTCATCTATATGCCTGTTAGTTTCGAAACTGCGCGTTTTATGATACATTTCTTTTTGCATCCCCATTCCTGATGCCTGGCCCATTTGCTTTTGGCGTTCGATATTGGATTTGTGGTGGACTGCGGTTGATCGCCCTCTCTCCGCGTCATGTTCTGGGGCCGTTTAAAACGTAAATTACGGTAATTGATCTACTTAAGAGCATTGACTGTAAACGAAATACATCGCCAGAATCCCAGTTTCGCAATGGAGCCCCAGCCATGTAACCGGGTAATGTCTGGGCGTCTTTCAAGTTGTTGGAGAAAGTGTCCGCCTGCAAATGTCCGGAAAGAGTGAGTGCAGCGGCTTTTTTTTTGCGTCTCTGAACCAACACAACACACTCAATACTCTGGCTGGCGGTAATCCATTCTAGGATGAAGGCGTGGAGATCGAGCTTCTACAAAAGAAATACGTGGAAGACCTTCCTGGACACACCCTCTTGGCGACCAGACCCATTTCTCTTGAGACTTGAGACTTGAGGTTGATGAATGATGATCATCGCGGGAGGAGCCACTGCGGTCTCAAGTTTTGACCCCGACGCCGCAGCGGACTCCGGAGATAGACACAATGAGGCTTTAGGTGAGACATCGTCGGTATTTCAATCGACGCTCACCCGTTTCAGGACGGACGACATCAGCCCCGAGGGGCGGCTGCATAGACGACGCGAGGGCCATGCGCCTCACACAAATATGTCGGTCTGGTTGGCATTTTCCGTCCTTGTGTCCACTCAGCCCTTGAAGTTGGGTCGGGGAGTTGATCGTTCATGTTGCCTCGCTTTGAGGTTTCAAGAGTGATAAATTTACTCCGGCTATGAACACTGAGGTTACAAATAGCAGATGTTTACGAGCTCAGCGATAACGGCACCGGCTCCCAGAATAGAATTGCGAGTGGATCGGGTTCTTTATGGAACATTCCGTCCTCTACTAACACCATGATCTGTTGCATCCAACCCGGGCATATCCACCATAACCAGGATCCCGTTACTCAGGAACCTCCAGCACATATCTCCCAGCAATCTTACCTTGTTCTATATTTCCAACGCTCGTTAGCATCAACATCAGGATCAACACACAAAGGCAGAAAACGTGGCACAGAGTAGAGATGAGGGAATAACGCACCCATCAGCTCAAAAATTTTAGGCAAATCCTTCAGCGGCGCTGTTTTGAACGGTGCTTTAATAAGCCCTCGCGCAAAAAAGTCCAATGCCTCAACGCCATCCTGGCGGCTCCCAACATAACTCCCCTTGATGTTAATCATGCGAACGACGGTCGAAAACACAGGGGCCTTGAGGAATGCATTTCCCGGCAAGCCGATTGCGACAACGGAGCCATGGGAGCGCACGTACTCAGTTGCTTGTTGGAAAGGCTTTTCAGCGACGGCAAGGAGGATGACTGCGTGCGCGCCCATGCCATTAGGAGTAGCGGCTTTGACGTCTGCGACTACGTCCTTCGATTTGGAGAAGTCGATGAAGTCCTGTTACGTTTGCTTCAGCTTTTTTATTTTTCAGGCATAGTAAGTGTGGTTGGATGGTTTTGGTTGGTGAATTTGGGTATTTGGTAAGTGAGGGAGGAAGACCTCAGCTCCTAATTGCTCACACATGTCTTTCTTCTCATCTCCAGAGTCGATGGCAACAACCCGGAGACCCATTGCCTTTGCGTATTGTAACGCCAGGGATCCTAGGCCTCCCCCGGCACCAACAATAGCAACAGATTGGCCCGGGCGTGCCCCAGACTCCTTTAGGCCTTTATAGACCGTGATCCCAGCGCAAAGAATAGGCGCAGACGCGTCAAGGGCGACATTATCTGGGATTTTCGAAGCCAGAGCAGCCTTTCCGATAGCATACTGCTGAAACGTCCCATCAACGGTATACCCAGATAGCTGAGGATTCGGACAAAGCGGCTCGTCAGACTGCATACACATTTCACAAGCGAGACAAGCGCCATTCAGCCACTTAATCCCAGCCTTGTCACCAATCTGGAAATCATTTTCCTTGTTCACCAGTTCGCCTTTTGCTACGACGATGCCAGCACCCTCGTGTCCGCCGACAAGAGGCATCTTTCGCTCGAGAGGCCAGTCGCCTTTCATGGCGTGCAGGTCTGTGTGGCACACGCCGGTGTACCGTATCTTAACAAGGATCTCGTCCGGTCCTGGTTTTGGGACCGGAATCTGTTTGTAGGCTAGTTGTGCACCTGGCTTCTCGAGGACCTGGGCCCATTGGAGGTCCGGGATGGATGTGGACGGAGACATGATTGTTAATTGAGGGGATGAGATTCATGCAATGTTGAGATTGAACTTGGAAGTGAAGAGGAATATTAAAGTAGCAAAAGATATTTATCAGGTTCCTTGAACACTGGAACTTCCTGGGGACAATTACTTAAATAACCTCAGAGTTAAAGAGAATGTAACACCCACTTTCTGGGAATAACACTCACCCTAGATAAGAAACATTGTGTCAATAATGAATAAGAACGGGACCTCCCACCATCCATCAATCGAATGCTCCCTCACAGGCGATTGGTAGGGAGTTCCGCCTGCTGATGGATGACGGTAGAGATCAAGTGGCGACGTCATCCGAGAACCATCATTGACCGAAATAGGTTGAGGATTTCGGAACCCCAGAGGCAATTTGGTTAAATTGATCCATGGTAAATACTTGGAGTCAGTTCACATTCCGGCGACATATAAGCGAACCTGAGGTGAAATACTATGGATGGTTTCCATAGATCGGAGCAACCGGAAACAGTGTGGGACGATGTTATTTTGCTGCCCATTATGGCCATTATTATTATTTGGGAATATGGTGTGGGATGTCAATAAAATGTTATGGAACTGCCGTGGTTGTCCTGCGTAACACGTTCAGCATACGGTAATGGACTGGTCTATCTAGTCATGGGAAATTAAACCAAACTGTAGATCCTGAGACACTTGATCAAAGAGGGTCTATCTACAGCCCCGTCTTCTCTAATTCTACTCCCGCAGCCATGAAACCCGCCTCATACGGCGTAGATGAAGACCGCACAGTCATCTGTGGCCCCTGGTATATCTTGCGCGCATACACGAGATAATACAACAATGCACCACCCCAAAGCGTGCCGTTAATTACAACAGTGTAATTCATATCATCGGCTAAAAAGAGGAAATCCAGTCAGCATGCCACGAGTTTAGGAAAGCGCCAGAGAAATTGAGGGAGGACATACGACTGGGATCCGGGCCTAGGGTAGGAAACATGCTGAGAACGATAGCGAAGGTCAAATAAAGCACAGCCGTTGCGGCAATCGGTTTGCTAAGCCTCCCTGTATAAAACGCGCCAGACACGAAGCGGTCTTGGCCCCAGACCAAACGACAAAGAATAGGCATCATCCAGGCTAGATCGTTACCGGCTACTGTAAGGGAGAAGAGTGCGTTCGCGGCTGCATCGTTGATAATAGAGAGGAGGCCGATTACAATGGCGGTGCTGACGACACCCCAGACCATGCGTACTGGTTGGTAGCGAAGTCGTTTACTGACGTGGCGGAAGAAAGAGGAGAATGGGAGAGCCCCGTCTCTGGAGAAGGCCCAACTTTGGCGAGAAGCACTTACAACCTAAAAAAAAAAGGAATTAGTTGGCTGTATATGTGTCGGTAGGGATGAAGAGATACCAGGCTCAAGCCCATGAAGAATTGGACAGCCGCTAATACGGCCATAAAGCCTAGGGCACCGGGCTTGCCGAGGCAGTCATAGTATATCTGGGAGCAGAGTTCAGTACAGCTGGAGGTACGAATTATAGAAATGCCACTAACTTGAGCCATCGGCTGGCCGAATGTCGTGTTCATAACAGCCTCTAAATCCTTATTGATAACAGCGGCTATGATAGCGAGAGAAAGGAACCCCAAAATACCACACAACCCGCTTGACCACAGGATACCCAATGGAACCGCCCGCGCAGCATTGGTAGCCTCCTCACTCATATGGACACAAGAGTCAAACGCCCCAATAGTCCATATAGGCGAGAGCCAAGCGAGCATGAACGTCCACCCGCTTGGCCAAGTTGTATGGTTTTCCAATTGTCCAAAGACGTATGAGCCCGAGTTTATCGCCCCACCGTTGACTACCTTACCGATAGGTAGTGCAAGGACAGTTGCCATGACAAGACCGACATTAGTTGCGATGCACACGGACTGGATCTTTGGCATGACTCTCGCAAAGAACGTGGCGATCAGCCCATGAACAACTACACAGCCTGCATAGGTCCCGTAGAGGATAGGCCGAGAAGCAGTCCAGTTACCGTCACGCGCAATAGAGATAATTGCAAGCAACATAGTGGCAAACCCGTCTAGCTTATCAGTTACAGAAACCCTAACTTGACTTTCACGGACACCTACAATCAATAGAGCAAACGCCCCCAATGAGCCCGATGGTGTTGCTATACCCAACAACAAAACTCAGTGGGCTCTTCCATTTCTCGCCGCTGAAATAATGCGTCCAGAAGTAGAGGCCACCGGCAGTTGGCATTGCAGATGCTAGATCAGCCTTGTGGTTGTCAGTCTCGAATCCGTTACTGGAGAGTAAGAGCAAAGTCGAACCAAGCTTACCATGGCAAGCCCAACAATGAAAATGAACACACTCGCAGCTAGCCAACCTGCGTTTTCAGTCAGCTACCATATGGACGCACTGAATCTTCCGAGCAACCTCACCCTATTCGAGTCAGTCAACGCCGTCTCTACCACCAAACAGCAAAGAAACGGACATACCCAAACCATGCCAGCGGGACCAGCAGGTATAGAGAACGAAAGGGTGGAAGCGATCGATGGCAACAGGCCCATGATGCTAAAGGCAATGGCGAATACCTCGACTGTGGAATAATGCCGCCGCAGCTCCTGCTTGTAACCCAAGGTTGCTTAGGCGGGTTTGTGAGCTGGTTCTCTTTCGACGAATAAGGGAGATACCTGCCTTACCGAGTAATTGCGTATCGCCCCATTCAGTCGACGGTCCATCGCCTGCTGTTTCAACGGGTTTCTTGGTTTTCTCAGTCATGGTTGTTGTAGGTCGGGCAGGATACCACTGAGATGGATGAAAAGGAAGGGGTGAAGAACTTATATAAACGCCCATGCAGCATGACCAGCAAGGGGCTTGCAGTAATCTGCATGACGAGTCCGGCATTGCAAAAGAATGATGGAAGGAGGATAAGCGTTGCATAAAGTTGTCCTTATCAGTGACAGGAAACCCAAGCGCCAATCGAGGCCTGCATCTCTAAGGTAAGAAGCGGCCAGGCCGGAACTCCGAAGGCTTGGTTGGTCGAGACGAGGGAGAGAAGGGCGACAGGCTAGAGTGTTGCCTGATTAGAAAATCTTTACGGGTTTCTTTATTAAGATGAGCATATTCCCAACACAGGGTATTCCGAGGCAATTCCGTTTTGAAGCACTATTATACAGAGGTACCAATTACAGAATACAAAGCACCCACACAAGCTACGCGTCAATGGATAACAATGAGTAAAACGAAGCAATCCAAAATGCAACGCTGCTATCGTTAGTGAGACAACCCAAGGGGATGCCGAAAGCAAAAAAAGCATAGTGATAATTCATAAGTATACACAAGGCTTAAATCTAAACAGCGCCAGGTCCCTTATGGTTCGACTGGTCCAGAAGCAGACGCGGCTTAATGTAATCTTCGTCCAACTGTCGGAACCAGGCGACGTGATCCCCAGAGGCTCCACCAGAGAAGATGTCTCTAATTGTCTCTCGTGCACTTCTGCTCGTTCCGGCCTGCGACGCAGACGCCCCATCTTGCGGCGTTTGGGACTGCGACAGATTCTGTACCTGTTGTGACGGTGATCGGCGCAATCGCGTGGGGGCAGCAGGAGGCAAGTCGTCGTCCGAATGCACTTCGTCTACATCGAGTTCAAATGCATCTGGATGGTCGTGCTCAACGGCTCGGCGTTTCCCGGAGGCCTTCAAACCGAACTCATCTTCACTGGCGTCGTCGCTACCGCTCTGACTGCCAGAGCGGTTGCCAAGTAGAGTCGCGGTTGTCGAACGATCTCGCGGTGTCTGGGTGTCTTTTGGACCAAAGGCATCTGAGTACATTCTAGAATGTCCCAGACCTGCGCGTGTCGACGCCGACGGAGGGCTGGGGCGGCGGCTATTGCCACTCGAGTAGCTGTTGGCCCGGTCAGGGTTCCTCCGCGAAACTCCATCAAGAGGAATATTGTCTGTGCGGCGGGGTGTATATCCCAACCCAGTGTCAGAGCGCTTATAGTAGGTGCCTCCGTTCGAGACTTCAATATCGAACTCGTCATCAGACTCAAGTTCCTCAACCACGCCTGTTCTAATCCCAAGAATCTCAAGCATGCGCGCCGTTGTTCCGCCGAAAACGATAACAGTGATGACCACGACCACAAGAACGGTGGCGCGTAAAGCCGGTCCATTTGTACCTTTCAGACCTGCTGCTAGTGCTACTCCCACAGCACCACGCAGACCCGCCCAGAAGAGCATTGCTTGGTACGCGAAAGGCAGTTCGTCGGCAGCTTCCACGCCGCGTCGCCGTGCCCGATACCGGATAAACCAGTTGATCGCCTTCGACAAGGGGAACACTGCAAGGTATCTGGCAAGACAGATACCAACAACAGTGACTAGGATAAAGAGGGGCTTAAATTGCACTTCCCTTTGAACGAGAAGATCGAGTCCCAAGTAAATAAAGATGAAGTTTTCGGACAGTTGAGCCATAACTTGGAAGAGGTACTTGGTAGTCAACTGTGTTCGACGTGACATATTGTAGTAAGCATAATGCTTCAAGGTGATACCACAGAATAAGAGAGACACAATTCCTAGAACGATGAGTTTTCCAGAAGTATTGGTGAACGGTACGATTCCAACTTACCTGACAAAAGGACACCGTTGGAGAAGAAGTAGCTGGCGTAAGCTACGAGAACAACCATGCAACTCTCGATCTTAGGTTGGCGGCGGACATGGGTGTATTTCAGGCCCAGCGCCGTCATGATGCCCACAATCACTCCTACCACCATACTACCAAAGAAAACCAGCAAGAACACGCCGATAGCTTCGAAGAGATGGAGGAAGGTTAAGGATCCTGCGTCACTCTCCGCATATTTCTGCGCCGTCTCGAACAGCACAATCGCAATGGCATCGTTCAAAATCGACTCGCCAAAAATGACTGTGTAGAGCTTGGGCTCGACTTTGTAAAGGTTAAAGATGGCCAAGATAGTCACTGGGTCTGTCGCAGATAGCGTAGCGCCAACGGAGATAGCCTCGACAAAACTGATACTGAATCCGTCCAGGGGGATCCTTGTCCAAAGAAACAAAACCAGTCCAAGAACAAGAGCCGAGATGAATGTCCCCGCAAATGCAAAGGTAAGAATTGTGCCGATGTTTCGGAAGAAATTCGCTTGGTGCAATTCATAGCCCGACGCCAAGATAATGGGAGGAAGGAGGAGGTTGAAAAAAAACTGGTAGTCAAAGGCGACGAAGTTGATAATCGGCGAGTCGGTCAACCGGATAATGAGTCCGACGAACATGCCTAGTCCGCTGATAAGTATTGCCCCCCAAATCACTCTTGAGAATTACATCAACCAGAACGAGCGCCGAACATACCACCAAATATAGACAGAACCGTTTCATGGACCGCTTCTATTTTCCGCTGCTGAAGTATGTAACTCGTGAATAGAGCAAGCATCAACAAGGTAATCATAATAAAGAGCGCCCAAGAGCTGAAAAACTCCTTGGTGCCAGCCTCCGGAGCTTCTCCTATAATTCACAATGTCAGACCCAACCACAGTTATGCCGTTGTAGGCGAAAGGCGCCAATGGGGGACTCGGGGCGCGTACCATCGTCGGGATCAGTATCATATTCCGCGGCTCTCCCTGGCAAAACACGAGATGGATTAGCAACTGATTCATCAAAAGCTCCAAAGATTAAGAGAGAATAGAGCGCAAGGTAAGGAGGGGCACACACGAAGAAGTGAATGAAGGGCATCGCCCATCAGTTGGCCAGCCATTTTGTTGAAGTCGTTGCAACCACCACGGCGGATGAGCCTTTAGCGGTTTGCTGCGGCGGCGATTTTTAGACACCAAAGCGATGGGCACATAATAAGTCACAAGCACAAATAATAAGACAGAGAAAGACGAGTAGCCGAATGCTCTAAGGAGAGGGAGAGGCGGGGGAGACTGGAATCTGGACAAGTTTCAACGTTGCAACTTGCTGTGTCGGCGCCTCCCGCCCTTGAGAGCTGCCTGTCACTGCCAGCGGCCAAGACTCGCCCCAGCTGCTTGCGATCGCCGATGTTACAGTTCCGCGCCAAGTGCAGTTTCACTATTTCTCATGCATTCGAGGAGTTTGATTTGCCAAAGCTTGTTTGTAGAAGATCACAACTGCACTACTACATTCACTGTATGCCCATGAATAACTACATCACATCATCACATCAGTGAGCACCCCTGAATAGAGCTGCTTAGTCAGGCCATTCCGCATCCCCTCGTTATCCACCTGTGGAGTATATTCGAATATCAGCCATACTTCCTCCGTATGGAATCCCAGCAACAGCGATCAGGTACATCGCAGCCTAACTGCTCGAGCTCACCATGCTGGAGCGCAGGATCATTTCACTTGCCAGAACTAGCTCAACCGGTAATAGTCTGCTCATTACCGTTCTCTACTAGTCCCCGACTAGTCCCTTTTGCTAGCATTGATAGCGTCATCATACAAGCTTCTCTACAATCTAGACAACTCTTCTCATCGCTGATTTGCAGAAGTATCCTGGGGTCAAAATTCGAGAATGACGATCCGGGGGTGGCGCAACATCTGAACCTCGTTACGTCAGTCTTCGAGCTGTAGTTTAGTAAATCTCTAGCAAGAAGCCTTCTCCCCTCTTGGAGTCCTTTCTTGAACCCCACTTGAGCTTCACCTGCACAATCAACACCGAATCCAGGCCTGCGGCGGCTTATAAAGGTTACTAAGCAATAACTTCAACTGCAAGACCAGTGATGAGGATAAAACGCGCTCCCGTCATCTAGTCCCTTGAAACTGTTGTTCCCTTCAAAACACCAGCTCGAAGCAACCCAAAATGCCGGAACTTACAGGAAATCCCAATCTGCACGATGCCACCGAGTTCACCGAGGGACTCTCTGGCACCTGTCTCTGTGGGTCAGTGAAAGTTACAATTCATGACCGCGATCTGTTCACTAAGAGGAGGGGTCATATATGCCACTGTGCCAACTGCCGCAAAGTCTCGGGGAGCTTTGCAGCCAGTAACTTGATCATCGAGGAGGACAAGGTCGAAATTGAAGACCGAGAAAATACCTTGACCAAGTTCCTCGACACCCAAACCATGAGTGGAACACCGCTTGATAGGTACTTTTGTTCGCGCTGTGGAAAGTAAGTCGGCCGGCCTATACACCGTATACACCGTATACTGGCTTACGCGACAGTCGCACTCTAACGACATATAGTCCAATCAAGTCTGTCACATCTCTATTATCACCAAATATCGTTTTAAAAATGGGCTTGTTTCCGAGAATCCCAGCGCCGGAATTCGAAACCTTCGCTTTGCACAGGCACGAGTGGCAAGGGTTTCATCCCGGCGTCGATAAATACAAAATCAAGGCATTTGCAGAAAGGATTTAGTAGCCAAGCGAAACCAACAATCTTCAAAGGATATTGAAAGTCGAAAATAAACTATAAGTTAGAATGAATGGATGGATGGATGACCAACACCAGTATAAAACACCAATCGTCATGGTATGGTTGTTTCCGCTGCAGCTGAATATTCAATTGTAACGAGCTTACATTCTTTACTGTCGAATATTGAGAATTTGGCTCTACACCCAATTTTTGAAGTATGAACACCAAAAAAAAAAAAAAAAAAAAAGGACGTCTAAGGCAGCTGGAAGGGAGTTGCGGGGGAATTAGCAAGACGGCGTCTTCCAGCTCCAAGAGGCCGCTTATAGCCGTTTTCAGCATCCACTTCATGGGGAGACTTCCGCCCACATTCACCAACACAGATAGCAATAGGTTGTCAACTGTTCGGTGGGGCCCTAATGGTAAGCCATAAAGTTGATCGTGACGAATGAGTGCAAGGATTCTTCTGAAAATCTTGGATCGACCGGAGCAAGCGTGGCAGCTCTAGTGGCTGGGTGGGAGCTGGAGCTTTTTATACTCGGTGACGGTATCTTGTCAATCAGTCCTTTCACCTAGACTCTCACCAATTCCCAAGGGGAGTCGGCGTTCTTCTCTCTTATTTTCGGTCTCCACCAAATTGCCTGGTGCTACGCAGCTCCTCCTGCCTAGCTGAGAATGCCCCCTCTCCGAGCCAAACGAGCCTGCGGCTTTTGCCGCGGACGTCGAATTAAATGTAATGTGATGGAGTCAATGCCATGTCACAACTGTATTGCCGCCAGCACGGAGTGCCATGTTATGGAGTCCGCAAGAGGCAAATGGCCTCGCTCTAACAAGGGCCGCAAAGCAGCGACGCCCACTGTTAGCGACAAGGCAGAAGATGAAACTAGATCTTCCAAACTTGCTGACGAGACATCACCCACTCAGCAGACTGCGGTCCTACAGGATGACTCCTCACTGGACCAACTATCCACTCCTTACCAAGACAGCGAAGTCTATCTCGGGGAGTCCACGCTACTCCGGGCAGTTCACAGCGACAGCACTCAAACAGGGCCCTACCGCAGCAACAAATCCGGCCTTCGATATCCACTGCCTGCAGTTGCAGCTGTTCCCGAGTGGGAACATCAACGACGACAGCGCAGACTGGAGATGCTTACCGCCGAGGGTGCCATGATTGTCCCGGACAAATTGGTCCAAGGTGGCTTATTCGAAGCGTACTTCAAATGGTTCCACATATGCTTTCCTGTGGTCAACAAAGAGGCGATCCTTCGTCAAAGCCAGGCTGGTGATCTTTCGCCTATGCTTTGCAATGCGATGATGTTTATTGGTGTCATTCATTGCAAGGCAAGCAAATTAAAAGAGATCGGGTTGGGCAATGGTGAAGAAGCAAGGCATTTGTATTACAATCGCGCCAAGGACCTCTATGATGCTGATTTCGAGTCCAACTCGCTGACCCAACTACAAGTAATGTTTTTGTTAAGCTTTTGGCGTGCCGGGCCGCTACTGCAAAAGGACTGTCGCTATTGGCTTGGGGCTGCAATCACCCTTGCGCAGAAGAAGGCCATGCACCGGTCATTTGGTATTCCGGATGTCGTTCAAGCTAGGCTACGCAAAAGAATATGGTGGTCCATTTACGTAAGGGAACGCCAGTGTGCTGCTGCCCTAGGTTTACCAAATCGAATTCGAGATGAAGACTGCGACGTTGCGTCTCTCATCCCACTGGATTTCGATGATATAGAAAATGCAAGCTCTCCTGCCCTGGCCCATAACTGGGAACACGTCAACTATGCCATTGAAATGGCAAAACTGGCTAAGTTCCTTGGAAAGATTGTCTGGAAGGAGTACACGCCAAATAGCGATTGCAGTTTAGCTGGTGGATCCCAACTGAAAGCTGAACTCAATGGCTGGTATCATCAGCTACCCGATGATCTACGCCTGGGGAACGAGACTGGGGGGTTGTTTGTAGGGATGCTGCATATGGCCTACAATAACCTACTCATTCTTCTATCCCGAAGAGCATTTATTGCCGCAGAGCAAACAGGCGCTCATAAAGAAAGTCAGATTGCTTACCATGCCGCATGCCGAATCTCCCGGATTGCGGAGGACCTACTTGCTGAGGATCTTCTTGGATACGGCCAGATACATCTCATTACGTGCCTTTTCAACGCTCTGTGCATTCACACGGTGAATTTGCGCCGGGTCGAGGGTACATCACGACTTGTGGCTGAGCATCGTGCTAAAATCTGCCTGTACGGCCTCCGGGAACTGCAAAAAACATGGGAAGTAACCAACTGGATACTTCAACTATTTTTCCAGTATCTTGATCGCTCTATGGCACGGCGCCTGCAGACAAGTGGCCATGAAGAAGACGACGCGCAGGCTATGCCAGAGGCGGAGGAAGCACCTGCAGCTCCTGGCCTTCCAATAACCATTCCGATTACACCGAGAGATGCTTTTATTGACCCAAATGAATTAGGCATAGACATGCCACTGTCGATGACATTCGGCTCAGATAGTTTGAACGGCACTTTACTCGAAGGGAGCGATGGATTCTGGTCTAATGCTTTATCAAGCCTTGATGGGATTACCCCGGTTGACCTTGAGCTTCTTGCGGGCTGTCTTACCTGACTTATTATACCCATCACCACACCGATGTACACCTGCTACATGAAAAACTGAACCGGTGAATAAAAACCGTTTCCGGGTGAATTACAGAGGAACTATCAAGACGAGAACCCCATGGGAGCGTTCAATCCGCCTCCAAACATTCCTCCTCGATCTCTCTGTTGTAATCTCCAGATCCCTCACTCAGGCCCCAGCCAATTCTCTCTCTCAGAAACATGGCTTCTAAGTCCTACAACCTGATAGTAGTCGGCTCCGACTTTATGGCCTGCATGACCGGGTTGACCTTCCTGGAGACATGCGAACGCTTGATGCTTTTCTCCGCCTGGGTCAGGACTACAACTTTGACGAAGACTGTATCCATGAAATGACCCAGGTTAACAACGGGCAAGCGGATTTGGAATATTGTCACAAGTTGGGCCGCGAGGCGAGGGCTTATGTCGAGTTTGTTGAGAACCACGGGGTCAAAGTTGTGAAGCATGAGGAGAAGAATGTAAGTGGAATACTTCTCTTTTCTATAACGGTATGCCTACTCATTCTGACCCCAGATAAGTAAATTATAGACTGACAATCTGTTTAGAATATCCTCCAGCTACGTCTGTCTTGAGATCGCTGACGTTTGGTCGACTGGCGGGCACTACCCTTGCTAACAAGCTATCGGGCCCTAAGGACAGGCCAGTGCACTAACTGTGTTCAGCTGGCCATTATATTGCCCAATTTATATATTGTTCATATATAATTGAAGTATTGAGCAAATGAAGCTCTAGTTATTGAACTTATATAGCTATGAAAATCATATACCAGGAGGTACTATGCATGCTTAAGCCCCCGCTCGCTTCACCGTCGTCCCCTCTGAAAGCCGACTGGTCAAATAAGCCGCAACGAGAGCCGCACATCCTCCAAATCGCAGCACCCACCCAACACTGTCATCGTACGGCTCGCCTCGTGGCTTCTGGGAGATTTTGAAAATCGCACTGCAGATCAAGCTTGACAAGACCTGCGGCGCGGATACGGCTACGTTATGCAGCCCGAGGACAATTCCCGCTTGTGCCAGATTCTCCTCTTCGTCATTTGCCTTGGGAGATGATCTTGCAGAACCAGTCTCTAGATCTTCCCCGTTCGCATCCCGGCCAGGTCCATCAAATTCCGGCTCCTGGTTTTGTTCGTTGTAGATTGCCATCTCAGACCTGTGGCGTCGAGCTCGGCGCTTTTCTTCCAGAGTCGCTACTTCGGCTGAGATTAAGGCGAAGGGCGCCCACAGTGTTAACGCCCAGGATATACCTATCAAACCTACTACCACCGACGCAGCGGTGACGGATGAGATCACGAATGTACTGAACATGCACAGAGCAAAGAGTATCTGCGATAGAAGCCATGTCCGGCGCAAGGTGAGACCGGGAATTTGGAGTTTTGACAACCATGTCTCGCGTTTTGTAAAGCTTCGGTCCTTGTCACCTGAGAATTCTGTGTGGGGTTCCGAGACGAGCCTTGCTTGGATATCTGAGCTAGATTGTCTATCAACGGTTAGACAGGGCTCGGCTTCTGGATCATTCTCTGCTTGATTGCCGCCATCGGGGGTAAGGACGGGTGTGTACGTAGGGACAACGAATATCGGAAGGGTGATATTGGCAACAAATGAGATGATGGCATATATAAGAAGTGCAAAAGTCCCGACCCTTGTCGCATCTTCCCATGCGTTGTCGATTTCGCGATCCGAGGGACCTGGGTGCTTGTCGAGTATGGGGTTGACATAAAGTTGGCCGATATATGTTGTCGCATAAAACAGGAAGGGGAACCAAGCAATCCAAGCAGCAATCTGTACTTCACAGACCTTGGCGGCTTGAGGAGGGAGGTGCTTTATCGATTTGAAGACTTGTTTGAAAAAGCCAATCACACCCATACTCCCTGACGGAGCCGGCCCATCAAGCCGGGGGTCGCGTTCTTTGATATACAGGCAACTGATCACAAGAGTCACAATAAGCGATATTGACGCCAGGGCGCACAGAATCTGGAATCGCGTGTGCCCGAGGAAGGGGAAGATTTTTGGCAAGTCGATATACCCGAAGATGTACCCGATGATATTCCCCACGCCAGTCAGCCGGCTAGCCCAGGCATTAGCAGACTCCTGCTGATGGGCAGGGGCATTATCGACAATGAAGCACCGAATACCCGCTTGGACTATATGACGAGTTAACTCCCAAGCTTCCCTGGCTGTAGGGTAAGGTAGTGCTTACCAGTATTTATCGCAAAATCCAAGCACCACATCATAATCGTGGCGATAACAATGATCGTAATCTTAGTTCCTTCGCCCTTCGGGTCGCCGCCAAATACCCCAACGATCCCTCCTACAGCCTCCCTGACCCAGGCAAGGGCAAGAAGCGTCACTATCGTCACTGCGCCTCCTACTATCATGAAGGGTTTCCGTTTACCCCATGATATACGGCAATTATCGCTGCGAATCCCAATGTACGGCTGCACCAAGGTTCCGGTAATGGGGCCTGCAATCCAAACAAATGCAAGAAGAGCCTTGCTCATTCCCAATGATAAAAGGTAGGGCTACCATTCAAGACAAAATTAGCTTCTGTCCCACTCGGACTGCGTGCCTGGCGTTCCACTTACAGAACCACTCGATAACTCGACAGACCACACCACCTGAAGCCTATAATATCCAGAGTGAGTTCAAAATTACTACACCATAAGTCATGGTAGAAATCAGGTATAACCCCATCGGATGATAGGTAGAAGTTACTTACCCACCAATACTCAACGTCAGCAAAAACAGATACCAGCTGCTCTTCGTCTCAGGCGGCGGATTGGGCGTATGAGCTCCTTCATTTCTACTGGCCCTTTCCAAATCATTTACGGATGTTACCGAGTCCAAATCAGCATCATCTGAAGGCCGAGGTCCCACCAAGGGAGATGTCTCGTTCGCCGCTTGGTCAGGCCCCTCCATTCTCCAAGAAGGGACCGTAAAAGGCCTTTGTTCCAGGCAAAGCTTTGGCGATATTTATTAGGACCCAGCAGGTGTCCTTAGACCGTAGAGCAGGGGTTGTTGGTGCAAAATACCAGGTTACTTCATCGAACGGGGATAAACCTGGTCCTGGTGGAGACGAGTGGGTGGGAGCTATTCAAAGCTATGTATAGCCAACAAACAGAAGGTGTAGGCTAAATAAAGCACTCCCTGCTTGGAGTACCACCGGAAGGGTCTAAAATTTCACTTAAGTCGCAACGGGCTTGAAAGGAGAACAATGCCGAGCAGGAATAGTGCTGATTGAAGGATATTGAATCAGCTGGATTCCGGTGATGATGTCTTCTGACAGGATGATCAAACGTCATTCACGTGACTTGTTCCTTATGCTCCTTTCACTTTGACCGTCCGGGCACACAGTTCAACATTGGTTGGAATTCTCAGCATGAGCCCGGTCCCGAGGCCTTGGTGCTGGAGGTACCTTGCTCTCACTCCTGATACGTGCCTATGAGATTCACCCAGAAGAGCTAGGCCGGGAACATGATACACCAAATGTCTATTGACTTAATTTCTTACTATGTACTCAACCGCACCGATCTCCACCTATCACACATGAGAACTTCGTAAATCGGAAATGTCTATATCAAACACAAATAAAATGCAGTTTCAGTCAGAAGCCCCAGGCTTCTCAGGTATCGAGGCGTCTTTAGACAGCCTTAAGATTCCCAATAAACTGAATACTGGCTCCACAAAGCCGGCGTCATGGTATCTTCCGCTTCTCCTATTGTTCCTCCCAAGTTCTCCAAGCCCCACCCTCTTTCAACCCATATCAAACCGAGATTTTCTGCAAAGCCTCTGGACAAAGGAAATGGAGAGTTAAACGACATATAAAGCAAAACCATAAAAGCACAAGGAACACAAGGAACCAGACACAAATATGACACGAACCATTGCACGTGTATCGCATCCTAAATACAGACCATATAAAGGAACAAAGCCGAAAAAATAGCAAACTGGTACGCTGAGGGAAAGAAATGTCGGCAGGTCGCGAAAGCTGCCCGGCAGACGGAGGTATGTTGCGAATATAACTCCCAAAAGCACATAAACCCTCACAAACCACAAAAAATTAGTGTACCATATAATAAGAATACGACCCCTATTAAAAGCATTTGAGAACTGAAGTCAGGGAGAATTTATATCAAAGCCCTGTTAAATGTGTTGTTGCAGGAGCTGGGGCGCAATCATGTGGGGTGCCATCATAGAACCCATTGAGGGTTGCAAAGCGATAGAAGATGGCATCGACGTCACAACGGGAACACCATTCACACTGTGATGGATGGACTCAGATGGCGAGTCTTCCTCATCGTTCGAGATAGATTCGTTATCGTCGTTTTCCAAATCATCATCGTTGAGCAATGGTTGATGGCCATCTTGTTGAGCCTCATGAATGCGGCGGTGTCTATAATATTTGGTAAGTAAGATGATACAAATTCAAGCCGGCAGCCAACAGTGGTGACTTACTGCGCCAAATTGTCGGACCTAGAGAAGGCCTTGTTGCAATAGGGGCAAGGGTATGGTCGCTCCTGAGTATGGGTTCTCACGTGTCTAAAGCTTAAGGGTCAGCGGACGTCCACAGAGGTCATAACTGAAAGAAGCCGTTTTGCGGGTGAAAAGCAATAAATTGTTCAAATTGAGTAGTGGGCTGAAGCTTACCGTTTCAAATGCTCCAATCTCTTAAAGAGTCGCCCGCACGAAGGAATCGGGCACGAATGCGACTTCTGTGGGTAAGGGCCAAGTTCCATCATAGTAGCACTGCGGGCGCGGCGCACGGGGCCTGTTCCATAACGGTCGCCCTTGTGGCCAATACTGTTTTGAACAGCTGATTCCATGGTTCCATTGGTAGGAAGAGCTCCCAGTTCATCCGGTGTCTGTCCGACGGGCATGGAGCTTTGCTCGCGATTCTCATCCACGTTCGAAAGAGGTGTGCCATTGCGCGACATTTCCTGCAACAGGTTCTTCTGGGGAAGAGGAGCCGCATGATACCCGCCATTCATGGAACGGTGTAGCGAATCATGCCGCGAATCGTCAACTTCACCTGGAGCAACGGAGCTGGAAACAGAACGTCGCAGATCACTAGGCTTGTGCGCCGCGTACGACATAGACTGCCCTGGAGGCGCAGGAGACTGAGTAGCGGACGCAACAGGGTTAGCGACGCTAGGTGGTATGGAAGACCGACGGCGACGTTGCTTATAAGTTGGCGATCCCTCTAAAACCGAGTATACGTTGGAGTGGAAATTTCTAGCCGGTGTGGGAAAATGCGCACTTGCCAGGTTGGACGGCGGAAGGTGAACCATCGGGTTGAAACCAGATGCGGTAGACATCTCTGGGATCGCAGTGTACAGCCCTGTGTCTTCGTTGGCAATATAAGCAGGCTCTGTGCCCATGTGAGAGGTGTGCTGAGGAGGAGTAACGGGCTCAAAGGATAAACCACGGTTGCTATAATCTTCATATTGCGATGACACGAAAGAAGGCGCTGGCGAGTACTCGACGAAGGTCGGCATTGAAGAGTGGCGTTGATGGACGCGAGCCATGGGCATTCCATTGCGGTCGTATTGGATAGCACCGTAGTCCGCCTCGCGTTTAATAATGTTCTGGGCCAAAGTATTGGGCATCTGAATCGGCGTATACATCTGGGGATTGCCCGATTCGTCCGCGAGAAGGGGGAGCGACGGAGGAGCCATCTGGGGAGCCATCTGGGGAGGAGGCATTGCGTCAACGGTCCGAACGACTGGGGATGCAGATTGGCCATATGTCGTACTTGCGTGTGCAGCAAACGATGAAGAATTCGCTTGTTGTGCCTTTGTGAGTTGCTCATACAGCGACTGGGATGAATCAAACTCGAAAGACAAAGCTGGCTCGCTGACTGCGACAGTGGTAGCTTCCTGTCCCATCTTCTCCCGTTTCAAATCGCGCTCCAGCGCATCGAGAAACAGCCTGTCATGGGGAACGCTGTACCAATAAAAGACCTTCTGCTTTTTCTGTGTTCGGATGCAGTTGTTCTTGTAGAGGAAATCGAGAAACGGGCTCTTCGGTTCTTCCAGCGTAGCATCGGTTCCAGCCTTCAAGTTTCGCAAGTCGGAAAAGATACCTTCCTCGAATTTCTTTGAGTTTTTGACCGGTCGTCCAAAGGCTTGAAATCGGAACGCAAGACAACGGACGATATCTGTTCCTGAAATGTGGAAAAGGTTGCTCCTATAGGGCGAGACGGTTAATGGGGTTCATCACCGGAGAGAAGTATATTTCATAGATCAGACTAACCAGAGGACACAGGAGATATAATCACCAGTTGGGAGAAGGAATCTCCGGATAAGCTGGTCGGGCTGCCAGTCTACTGGCGCCGAAAGAAGGAAGTATTTCACTAGGCCGGTTAGCTAAGCGCCAAACAGGACAAGCGGGCGACCGCATCTTACAGTTATCAACTTGCTGGAGCTGAACTTGCGCATCGTGAGGCAGGCTCTGCTGCGCTTCATTCGATAGCATGAACGTCTCTGGCTTCTGGGGCGGCGCCATAGGCGCGCCGTGTTGGGGGATTTGGGGATACATTCCCGTAACCTAGCAAAATGAGAAGAGTCAGAGCGAGAAATAGGCATACGGGACCATCCACCTAAGTAGGTTTCAATAGTGATGGCCAGACCGAGTTACACAGCGAGGATACGTACAGTCCAGGATGCTCCGTCGTAAGTTCGGCCAGGGAGCTCCCTCTTGAGACGGGGTGGATGAAGTGACAAGTGGGATATTAAGGCAAAACGAAGAACGTTTTATATGGCGATAGAGTGCTGTAGAAGAAACAGCGATCGGTGGTGGGAAATGGAGGCTATTCAAACACAATCCGAGGAACCAGCCTCCTACAAAGGTTGTTTGTTAGAGAGGTTTGAAGAAGCCGCCTCAAAGAGAAGGGACAAAAGGGTAAAGAAAGAGGGAGAGAATAAACTGGGCCAGCCCGTTTCTAATTCTCTTTGAATAACTCGCACGGCGAAATTGAAACGAAAAGAAGGAGGAGAACAAACAGAGGCAAGTCGCGATGAGGGGAGGGGGGAAGAGAAAGAGAGGGCGGATGAAGGAGGACTTGCTTTTTCAGAGTGTTGAGAGAAGCGGTTTGGAGGCCGGGGGGAAGAAGGAGAAATAATGGGCCTTGTTATTATTTCGGGCTAACAGAGGTGCTAATAATAATGCGGTAAGAATAATAACAGGAAAATAATAATAAATAATTATGATAATCTGAACCAGCCAGTGCGGGTGACTGCTGAGGGGGCAGAACCAGAGAAGAATTCAGGGAGAGACGACGATGGATCGCATTCGCTCGGAGTTGGTCGTCCTCGTCGTTCGACTTCCTCTCTCTCTTGATCTCCTGCGCTCTGACTGGCTCAATCACCTGGTCACTGCAGGAGCTGGGCTACTGAAGGCGCACAGCGCAAAAAGAGGACCAAAAGGCCGTCTCCGTTAGACTGTAGACTAAGAAAGGGCCAGCAAGGAAAAGCGGAGTCGGCGCGAGGGACTGGTCGGCCTGGTGGAGACCGATACGTGACATGGGTAATACCGGCGGCCTCCACCTTTTCTTCACAATCCAGGCGCATCTGTAAGATACCATGGTAACCGTGCTGTCACGTACCACGGGCGAGAATCACGAGTCGAGAGAGTGGGGATCCCTCCCGGGTCCAGGTCAACAGGAATCGAAGGCTTGAAGCTACATTCAGTTCACAACTCAGTCTCTCTTGCCGCCCTGTTCGGCGAGAGCCTCTACATACTGGGAGCTTGAAGCCGGGCCGTCATCGTCATTCGAGTCCCTCGAGTCCTTCTTCCAATATCAGGGGTGCGCTTTGAGACGCCATTGAAAGCACGCCCATTGGAACTTGGGCAAAACACTAAACAGCAACAGAATCACAGATACTGCTGCGGATATTAGCTGCCCTTCTGGAAGACTGAGAATTTGGGCAATGACAATCGCCATAACCGTTAGAGTCGTTAAACTCGTTACTAGCGAGCAGCTTGAGCCTTGCAGTGGGCCCTTTCAAGAATGTTCCTGGCGAGGCCCACCACAAAGAGTGACTTTGTGTGCTGGTTTTGAGTTAAGCCTCAGACCTCAAAATTTTGTCGCAACTCGCGTTCTCGAGCTACAATCCTCAACAGGAAAATAATGGCATTGATGCAGTTATCTGTCTCTGCCAGCAATCGGGATCTTGCAATCCCGCCTGGGTCTCAGCGCAGCGGCAGCCTCCAATGAGTGGCAGCGTCGCACTGTCAAGTTGCCTGCCAAGGAACGCGACCGCGAGTCAGGTGGA